TTTTTTTTTTTTTGGTACTGGGGATCAAACTCGGGTCCTTGCGCTTTCGAGGCAGGCGGCGGAACCACTGAGCTAAATAAATCCCCAGCCCAAATTCTATAGATTTTTAAAAGCTGGGAGAAAAAAAAGAATTAGGAAAGTTCTATTTTTCTTATGGAAATCACTGAGCTTTTCATGTAGTCTTATACTTAAAAAGCTTTTCCAGTGGGATGTGGTGACATGCACCGGTAGTCTCAGCTGCTTGGGAGGCTGAGGTGGGAGGTTCACTGGAACACAAGAATGTGTGAACAGCCTGGTCAACAAAGGGATACCTCATTTTTGTGTGGGTTTTTTTTTTTTTTTGGTACCGGGAATCGAACTCAGGACCTTGCGCTTGCCAGGCAGGTACCAGAACCAGTGAGCTAAATCCCCGGCCCGGGAGACCTCATTTTTAAAAAAGTGTGGGGATGCGGCTCTGTGGTATATCATGTGCCTCACATACAAGGTCCTAAGTTGAATTCCCCAACACCAAAACCAAAATTTTCTAAAAATCAGGTTAGAGCACAAAGGTTGGTAAGACAGTTCACAGTTTCACAGACTCATGAGGCGGGAGGATTGCCACCAGTCTGAAGCCAGTCTGGGCTACATAGTAAAGTCCAGGCCAGCCTGGACTACACAGTGAAACTGTCTCAAAACAAACAAACAAACCAAACTCTGTAAGCATCTAAAGAAAATCATGGGTTGGAGTGTAGCTCAGTGGAAGAAGACTTGCCTAGCATCCATAATATCCGGTGTTTAAAAAAAAGGGTTAGGAATTTTGAGCAGTAAAGCTTAAAAATCTTATGATGTGCTTCTCAGGTAATGGGATATTTGCTGTATTTGTAAGTAAATTTTGAAATAACAACTTTGAGGTTGGTTTGCATTTATTTACATTTCTATGCCAAGGCCAAAGTTTACGCTATAAGAAGAAATGTATTTATAGTCTTGTAAAAGCATCAGCACATCTTGTGTGAGGCTTAAGACATATGAAAAGTGTTTTTGAAGCCTGAAGGACCATCTTTAATCCTACTGAGGTCACCATCTTCCACACTCTCCCGCTAATGGATATGTGGGTAATGCTCCCACTAGCAGCTTGCTTATTCCTCCCACTACAGATGACAGCTCTGTTCTAGCCACTTGCCAACTTTCTCTTTAGACCAGGAAAACAAGGTAACCTCTCACTCCTCAGGCCTTGATACTTGCTAAGCTCATGGACTAGAACACTTTCCCCTGCTTTATCTGCCTGGTGAATTTCCGTTCGCTTTTTTTTTGGATCAAACTTGGGACCCTGACCTTGTGAGGCAGATGGTGGAACCACTGAGCTAAATCTCCAGCCCTCCACTGACTTTCACATCGCAGCCTTTTGCCTAGCACGCATGAGCCTTTTTATCTCTTCTACAGAATCAATCTTTCTTTCTTTCCTTCCTTTTCTAAGCAGACGACAGCAATCATTTTTTTACTCCTCCATACCTTCAATAGAGAACTTACCTAATTACCCTGTAACTGTTTTTATGTCTAACTGCCCTTATAAATATAAGCTCCCTTAAGGTGAGAACTATACTGTCTTTGTATACATCTTTGTATACATCTTCTCCTGGGTCCTGGTACAGCTCTAGACATAGCTGGTGCTCAGTATAAATATGACTTGTAAGTCATACACTGGATATATCAGAAAACAGGGGAAAAGCCAGGCATTGTAATTCCAGCACTCTAGGAGGCTGAGGCAGGATGGCAAATTCAATCCCAGTCTGGGAAATTTAGCAAGAACCTGCCAAAAAATAAAACATATAAAGGGGCTGGGCTGGGGATACAGCTGAGTGGTAGAGTGACCCTGAGTTCAACCCCCAGTACTGAAAATTTTTTAAAATAGGAAAAAGTTGAGGTCAAGCTTAGGAGTTGACAGCTGGGAATTTAGCTCAGTGGTGCTGTGCCTGCCTTGCAAGCACCAAGGTCCTGAGTTTAACTCCTGGTACCAAAAATAAATAAATAAATAAAAAAGGTGAAGGAGTTGACAGCCACAAAGAACTGTAACATTGTCCAACAATTCCTACTCTCTGGAATTGGCACTGTTAAACCACAAAGAATATTTGTCTTCTCCTTGCCACTCAGAATGTGATTAGTATAATGTAGATTTGCTCCCTAAATTATGCTTTTATATTCATGCACAGTATGTGTTATTATACATTAAGGAGATGATTTAATAAAGAGATGAATAGTTCTGGGTCTGGAGTTGGATTGCCTGGATTAAGTTTGAGATCCTGGGTACATTACTCTAAGCCTCAGGTTCCTCCTCTGTTAAATGTCCACAATTACAGTACCTATCTCTTAAAGGTGTTGTTACCATTGCAAGTTAGTATCTGGCACAACATTAAATGTTATCTACCACTTGGGCTGGGTGCATGTCTCAGTGGTAGAGTGTGTTTAGTATGTGCAAGGCTCCAACATCACTAAAAAAAATTGTCTAGTACTGTAATATAACAAAAGAAGTTCACATTAAACCTCATATGTTATGTGTATATACTGTGTGTGTGTGTATGGCTTATGCACTTTCACATAAACCAATGTTCCTCAATAGGGGGTGACTAGGGCCCTAGCAACATCTGGACACATTTCTGTCGGTCACCATTGAGTGCTACTGATGTCTAGTGGGTCAAGCCAGAGATGTGTCTAAAGATCCTATAATGCACAGAACACACATTCATACATCCTCAAAGAATTATCAGGACCTAAAATGTCAACAATGCAAAGGTTGAAAAACTTTGATATAAACAAGGGTATAAATGTATTCCACAGGGTGTAGTCGTAAGGTGTATTGGGGGGGGGTACCGGGGATCGAACTCCGGTCCTTGCGCTTGCGCAGCAGGCGACAAATCCACTGAGCTAAATCCCCGGCCCCGTAAACTGTACGTATAGATATATCATGTGGTCATGTTATTCGTATATAGTCCAAATAGCCCATACCCGCCTAGGATGTACTGACACATCTTATGCATCACAGCATGCACCTAGAATAGCATCCTGTGATTATGTGCCATATATGCACTGGTTGTGGCTGCTATTATATATTAAAGGCAGTGTAACATGTTGAGAAGAATGTTACCATTATCTCTGTACACATTTCATTCCATCCTTACAACTACGATATATTATACCAACTAATTCAGGATTACACAACTGGTTAGTCGGGCATGGTGGCCCACGCTTGTA